GAGAGACTGGTGGTAGTGGTACATAATCCTTGTTATTTAAAAACACTCTGAGGTGGGAGCTACCTTCAAAAGGCTGCTAGTTAGAGCTTCTCTCCAGCTGCAAGTGCAATGACTGTGGCATATGTTGCTGGTGTTCAGATATTTCATAACCCAGGTTTGCAGTGTTCCCTACTCATTTCGGTTGCCTGGCTGAACCTGTCAGCTTGCTCAGACCTGCTCTTAATCCTGAATTTCAGCTGAGGATGAACCCTGGGTACCAGATCAGGGAAGTCTTGAGCTAGAGATGTCTTCTCTCACAGGAGAGACAGTGTCCTGTTAATTGCCTTTAGGGCATAATGGAAATGATTTGTTTAATCTGATCTGTTTAACCTTGGCTATACTGCCACTGCCCTTCAGTTTTTCGGTTTACATTTGTGACACTTTTTCTTCTGCCTGGAAACTGAGCTTGCTTCATCAGCTGGAGTGGCTGCTGAAGAGCAATGAATTCTGCCTTTGTACCAGGCTTTTAAAGAAATTATTTATGATTCTAAGATGATTGGATATGTTTCAGTGTCAGCACTGGGTATGCATTTTTAAGAATGCTGTTGAGACTCTTATGTAAGATATCAGCTAAGCATGTTCCTAGGATGTTAATTTATAGTATTAAAGAAAGTATTGAGTTCTCTGATATTAAATAAAACCTTTCAATTAATTTTTCAAAACCTTTTCGGCACTTTCTTCCTTCCAGAATAGGCAGAATTTAATAAAAACACCAAGCAAAGGAACAGAAACATGTTTTGGACCTTACATCTTGCATCTCTTTTGTTTCAACTGGGACTGGTTAGGCAGAATACATAATCATAAGCTCACAGGCTTAATTTTTGCTGAAGGGAGGCTCTGTAGCAGAGTTTAGAAAGTCACAGTGTGACTGATGTCAGTAAGCCTGAAGTTGCATAGGCTTTGGGCTTTTTATCTGCAATAATGTGAATTAACTTCAGTTAACAATGAACAGCCATAGTAATAGGCTAACAGAGAATCCAGCTTTAAAAAAAAAATGTAGATGATGATAACAGAGATATTGTTTTTTTTGTTTGTTTTTTTTTTTACCCTTTCAAGGTAAATGAGAAGTTTACTGACCACCTCTGTGATTAACATTGTGGTGGAGCCAGTAGGGTTTAAAAGTTTTTCAACAGAATGTATGCTGACATTCCTTCCTAGTCCAGTTTTCTGGCAGACATAAAAAAAAAAAGAAGTTCATAAACCAAAAAGATTAAAAACTGTGAAAAGGGAAGAAGCCATTTCATTAATGTTGCCTGTAGGCATGTTCCGTTAGGTGGGCAGTAGAGCTGCTCCTCTGCTTCAGGCAAGAGTCTGGAGTTTATTTCTGGGCTACGTGTCTGGTCAGTTTTATCTTTGTTTTTTCAATCTCTGTGCTAAAATGCAACAGGATTTACAGCAGAGGAGTTGAAGTTGTGATCTTTAAGAATATAAGTCAAGCAAATTCTGTCTCTAAGAATGTAAGTCAAGCTACATCAAGCGATACACAGGACTTTCTTGGACTGGAAACAAGGCTGAAATTTTGGGTACATTGTAGAAACAATTCCTTAAAGTTTAATTTTACTCAAATTTTTTTGCTTTGCTTCTTTGGCATTTGAAACTGGAACAAGCATGGAATTCTCTTTGTTCTAATAAGATGAAAATACACATTTGTCCCACTGAGGTCCTTTATAGTATATAGAGTTCTCTCAAGATGTCCTCATGTTCATTCCTCACTTCTATAAAAGCCTCTGTTGAGAGCTGCTGGGAAATGAGCTTGGACATATTCTTCCCATTGTGAATAACCTGTTCCTGTACTGTGGGTGCACTTTGCGTTGAAGACACTGGGGGGGAAAGCAGATTTTGTACCTTGCATGACACTTTGAGTTCATGCCTGATGCAGTAGTACTGTTCTAAACAGCAGAAGTTTTCAAAAGTGGGTAAAGACCCATCAGTGCAATCAGTGTTTCACAGTCTCCATTCTCTTATAGGATTACATCTTACTTGAAAAGTCTGCTAATGCTGTACTTGAATTGTTTAATTTATGAAATAGATTTTTTTTTTTCATTCTCCATACTTCTCCTGAACTGAGTATGCTTAAATAGGAAGGAATGGCCCTATTTCTTCTGCATGTCTAACCTAATTAATCTATTTAATTTATTCAGTATTTGGAACATACAGATTTATTTTATTTTACTCACAAAGTAGAAGATGGGAATGCTAAACATCCATGTTTGGTCTTCTAGAGTCTGTCTGGTTGAATAAAGCACATCCAACCGGTGCCATCCTCTTCACTTGAAGCAGGTGTTTGAAATTCACCATTTTGGATGACTTCGAACTGAAGGCAAGGAAAGCATACTTGGAAAATAAGTGCCGAAAGCCTTGTAGGCCTGTTGGAAGAGTTAAATCACTCTCTGATCTCAGTGGTTTCAATCAGGCTATAAGGTCTGTAAACATCTTGTCTTTGAAGATTAGTCTGAGCTCTTAATTGTCCATTCCTGATGGTTTCTATTGCTGCAAGTTCACTAATTCTGCCTTAGTAACTACAGCATTCATTGCAGTGGCATAAAACCTCTTGTTATTCTGCTTGTAACATTCTCCCCTTTAGAAGCTTTCCCTTCAAAGCCTTTCAGACAGTTCAGAATTGGGGTGATGGGGGTGAGTCCACTGGACAAAGCTAAGCAGAGCCATAGCACTTGGTTCTGTGGGCTCTTGGAGAAAAGGAAGTGTCACAAGCCACTTTTTCACTATAACCTGCTGGTAGCAGGCTGGTGGAGTGTCGATTTCCAGCTGGTTTGCTTTAGAACGGGATCTAACACATGCTCCTGCAAAGTACCCTGTGGGCTTTGAAAAGACTTCTTGTGTAGTTTGGAAACACCACGCATTTGTGTCCGAGTCTTACTGTGACACCTCCGAGGTCTTGTCCAGGAGCCTCGCTCTGGAAGGACCGGCGCCAAGAAGCAGCCCCGGGCCCTGCCGGGCCTTACCCAGAGCCGCAGTGACCGACAGGGGGTGGTAAAGCGCCACCTGGGCAGAGCGAGCGGCAGAGCGCGGGAAGCTGGTCTGGGCGTGAGGCGGCCGCGGGCACCTCCGCAGGTGAGGGGGTCAGCTCCATCGTGGTTATCACCCTCACAGGAGGAGCCGGGCCATGGTACCTACCCGGCGCCAAGTTACCTCCTCTGTTCGCGCCAGGAAGGATGTAGCAACCCAGACGGAGCTGTCATGAAAACGTGCAGCCACCCGAATCTCAGGCTGCAAGGAGTGCCAGAACTTCCCGCGGGTATCAGGTGATGGTAGGGACAGCAGCTGTGTCATATGTGACCAAGTGGACAATCTGCTCAGCCTGGTGGCGGAGATGAAAGAGGAAGAAGAAACATTAAGAAGCATCAGGGAGTTAGAGAAGGAGATAGACTGGTGGGGCCAGGCTCTGGCCTCCCTGCGACAGCCAGCAGAAAGAAAAGATACGGGGGCACCAGAATCCTCCCCCTGCCAGACTGAAGGCAGTATCTCAAGGGATAGGAGTGAATGGATGCAAGTCCATTCTAGGGGTGGCAAGTGAAACCCCTTCTTCCTCACCTCCCCCTCCCCAGGGGTCTCTGCACAACAGGTATGAGGCTCTGGATGTGGATGGCCAGTCAGTGGATGAGAAGGATGAAGGTCCATCCACACCAGAGGTGGTGACAAGGTAAGGAAGGTATATGCCCCGTATTATAACCACCTCCATGAAGAAGAAAAGAAGGGTTATAGTTGTAGGCGACTCCCTCCTGAGAGGACCAGAGGGTCCAATATGCCAAGCCCCTCTCACAGGGCAGTCTGCTGTCTCTTTGGGCCTAGGTTAAGGACATTGCTAGGAGAATCCCTAGCCTGGTACTGTCCTCAGACTATGACCCATTACTGGTCTTCCATGAGGGTAGTGATGAAACTGCAACCAAAAGTCCAAGGGATCTCAAAAGACACTTGATGCCCTTACTAGCCAGGGATGGCTGGTAAGGCCATCTGAGGTACAGGTTATCATCTCTCTTTCCAGTTGTGTGCAGCAACATTAGAAGAAATAGACAGACTGCTTCTTGCAGTCATCTCATTGTTTTGTGCAGTATGGTCTCACTAATGACACCTTTTGATGTTCTATTGTTTGGTTTTTTTTAATTATTTTTAATTTTTTAGTTTATTAAACCCCTTCAAATTTCTGTATGCATGAGATTTTGGGGAGATCTCAGTTTTCATTTACAAATATAAATAGAAAACTAGTCTTTGTGGTTATAAAGAAAATGATCAAAAGCATAACATTCTGGAAGTATATTAGGTAATGAGATTCTAATGCTCAGTGTTTTATTAAAAAAACAATGTTAGGAAGCTGATTTTTTTTTATTTTTCTTTAGATTAACTTGGCAGTGTTAGTTTCTTTTATTTTCTGTTCTTCCAACAAACTTTTTTCCCCCCAAAATAATGGATTTGTACATTACATATTCTGAATGTGTGGAATTTACATCTGCATCTTTTTTGAGTCTCAAGTCCATGAAGTGCTCCTATCTGATCCAGTGTTTTATGTGATTCAAATTATGCAAAGAAGCTGATAATGCTACCCTGTTCTAATTAAGTGCTTGAACATGGGCCTAAGCAGAAGCATGCTGTGTGGGTTGCTTGGAAGTGCTCGTGGGAGAAAGGAGCTTAAGTCCCATTGAGAGTGAAGAGCTTGATAATGTGATGTTTCCCCTATGCTCTGCTTCTGCCATCAGCAGGTGTTGTCATTCCTATGACTTCATGAGCCAGCCTGTGGTCTTTGTGCACCATCCCTTTACAGTCACACGAATGAATACTCTTATATCTCACTGAGTTTTTCTCTATTATGTTTCAATCCAGTGATTTTAGTCCAGTTATGAGAGGGTCTCTTTCGTACTTCCTGAAAGACACCGTTAGAGAAAGCTGTTTTCCCTATATTATGCAAAGGACACATGACTTCTGACACACAGGTTCCTGTTTTGCAGGTCCACAGTTTACTGGTTGCGAAGAGGCCACCTTGTCAACTGGGATCACATCAAGTGTACTGAACTCCTGTTCCTGCATCAGGTACATGTATTCCTGTGATCAGTTTATTGATCTAAAATAAAGTTCTGAATGAGTAATTGCATTTGAACTTAAGGCCTCAGTGAGTGGCTTTTTAAAGGGTAGAAAATACATTCTGCAGGAGCTATTATAATTAATAAAATGGGTCAGGCTGCTAACAAAGGTGTTGCTTACTGATGGTGTGGACTGTGTTTCCTTGTCTCCCTCAGAGTGTTGTGGCCTGGAAAGACATTGTGTTGAGCCCTTTAGGTGAGGAAACTTGAAGTGGTATTAAATTATTATCCCAGGATCCTCTTTTCTTCCTTAGGATTATTGGCAAACTAATCTAATTTCAGTAATTTTGGTACTGCTTATGTGAGTACTGAGAGCAACTCTGTTCTTTCCAAGCCAGCTCAATTATTTCCATTTATGAAGAAGGCTGGTATATCATGAATCTTCACTGTTTAAGAAAGAAAATAAATCCTGTCTAACAAAGTCATGTGTGAAATCTGTCCATTTATTCTTTTCCCCTTGAACCTGCTTTTTTGTTTTGTTTTTGTGCACAGTCTATGTATTTTGAATAGGGGAAAAAACCCAGCCCAGTCCTCCTAATCATGTTATAAAAATGGTAGCAGTGTTGAAGAACATGCTGCAGGTAAATGAAGGACAGATAAACAGAGTAAAAAAGAGGTGCTGCAGCATCTGGCACAGTTGCTGCAAGCATGTATTTGAACACCCAGCAACAAATGACTAAGACACTGAGACGTATTTAGGACAATCTCACAGAGTGCAGCCCCTGAACAAGGGAGAAAGGAAGAAGGTGAGACATTGGAGTCTGGTCCCCTGTAAAGCCTTTTTCTGAATCTTCTGCAAGATTAAAGCTGCAAGTATAAAACACTGTAATAACTTTGAAGCAGATGGATCTGAAATGTTTAAATGGAGGGTTAGTCTTCCCCCTTTCTTTTATTTATCTTAAGTACTTTCTAGTTTGGTCTCTTTTAAACAGTTGCAGTGGGCACAGTGGCCAGTCTCAACCTGAGTTGAAAGTCAGATTTTGTCAGAAATCTGGAAAGAAAAATAATTTCTGAAACAAAAGTCTGTGTCATAGCAAATAGCAAGCACTCATCATGGACAAGCTATTGGAGACACTCAGAAACACAATCACTACCGCATGGCGTGCCTTTAACTGGGAGTTGCAGGTTAATATTTAAATCTGTGTAGGTCTGTGGACTTCTGTGGCTTATGCAAACTGAGGATTTGACCAAGGCCTGTGATATGAAGCAGGATTGAAGTCTGATATTGATGGGTACTAATTTTTGACTGCTTTTCTCATACCCTTTAAAAGCTAAGTGTCTATCAGGAATTTTTATGTTGCTTCATTTTCAGTGACACTTCTCCTCCAGCTCCTAGCTCTCTGCTTCTTTGCAGGAAGAGGTATTTTCTTTGCTTTTTATATGTGTCTGTGACTTCCACCTTAGTTACAAGTGGAAGATCTGTGCTAAATAGTTAACATTACCCTGGGTCAATTGAATTGAATCAGTCAGAGCTTGGTCATTTTTGCTAGAAAATTACTCTTTTGGTCACTTTTCTTGCCTTTGCGTTGTCTGTGAAGACTAAAATATCTGTTGTTCTTTCAGGCCCCTCAGAAGGGCTATTCCATCTATGCTGGTTTTAGTTAGATGGAGCAGGTTAATTTGGTAGAGAGGCCATAACTTACCACCTAATAGAGTCTGTAATTGGGCTAGGGGTTTGTTTTGTTTTCTGAATTACTATGTCAAAACTTGAGCAACTTTGCTTTTAATTCTCAAACTGAATTATAGGTTTAGGACAAGGAGTTGCAGCAAACACATGCTTTCAGCAGCTGGACTGATCCAATTTTTTGCATTGCTAGTGACAGTCTTGTTGGTTTTGCGTGATTTTATATTTAATTCAAGCAGAGCTTCCAATAGGCAAAGATCAGAGAAGAGTAGAAGGCTTCTTTCTTTGCTTTGTAACTGTAAATAATCACACAGCATTACTGTATAGTTTAGAGGCTACAGCTCTTAGGGGCATGTTTACTCCCTCATCCTTACAGCCCTGTGCACGGCACTGCTGTATAAACTCTGCAGGGGAAAAAAAAAAACAAACCAAACAAAATCCATTTCTCTGGATTGATATTGAATCTTTAAGATTGTCTTTACAGACTAAGGACAACCCATTTTTTCCTGTGGTATAAGGGTTTCTGGTGAAACATGGTTAATGAGTGCTGGGGCATCTGTTTGGGCTGATAGTGAATATATTTGATTATAGATGGACTGCTTGTACTTTAAATTATAAAGAAGAAGCATGAGTTTCCTAAGTAGTATTTCACCATTGAAACCAGGTGGTATGAATTGTGAGCTCAAGTGCAGTGTCACTGGAAGGTGAGATTTAGCCAAAATGGTCACTTCTACTATAGAGATGAGGAAATGGAGTGGTAGAAAAATGGCACACCATCATGTTCCTTTCACTTGCAAAAAGGGAGGGGAAATAACTACCTGTGTCTGTGCAGTATTTACACACAGACAAGGAGTCTAGACCAGAAGCTGTCAGGTTGTAGATTTTGGGGGATTTAAAATGACCTTCATGCCATGAAAAGGCTCTTTGCCTACGTGCCTGATCGTAGGAGTGGGGTCATTGTGGAAGCAAATAATGCTTTGCTTTCCCCACAAGTTTTTGTTTTTCTTTAGTTCTTCCTGCTTCTTGCCTCACAACTGACAGGGAGCCTATTTTGCCATGCTAAACACCTTGAGGCTGACAGGATGGAGAAAACCTACAGGTTCCTTTGACAGCTGTAATCAATAAGAAATGGAAAATCTCACTTTGAGAAGCCCTTTTCCAACTATAAATGACAGCAAGAGTCACGAAGGTGAAACACTGATTTTAGACCAGACTGTGAAAGCAGAGGACCAGGAATCTGAGCCTAAGAAAAAGGTTTGCAAACCAAGAGTTTCTCTCTGCTACTTGGTGTGCACCCAAGTCAAAGAAAGAACCACACTGTTCCAGTCAGTCCTCAGAAATACCTTCCTCAGGCAGCTCATAAGCTGGAGCTTCGCTTAGTACCTCCCTGTGCGTTCAGGGCAGACACAGGGCTTGCTGCTGCAGGAACTTTCATTATCAGATTGCAATCTTCTCTGAAGGTCCCACTCACCTTCAGAGAGATGCTGAATTTCTCAAGCTGTCATGAGGGTCACTGGGAGATGAGGAAATTTCATTAATAGCATCTAGTCAGGAGAAGGGATCAGATGAGCTTTTTAACCTAACAGGTCTAGTTTTTGTTGTTTTTTTTTTTTTAAAGTAAATTATTTCTGTGGAAGAAGAAAAGTTGTTTATTTCCAAATAGATTTAATTGCCAGCAAGCCACACTGAAAATGGGAATAACAACTTTTAATTATGATTAGGGGTAGACAGAAATTCCCAGAGCACCTGGTTAATCACAAATAGAAGCTGAGGAGTGCAGTGTTTTTCATGCCGTGTTACCGTGGCAATGGCAAGTTATTCAGAAAGCATAATAGGACAAGTTAAGTCTAACTGATATGTTCTTGTTTTGTGATGTTGAGTAACTATTAGTATGGGCTCTTTCATCTTTGTTTTGCAGTAAGCAATGGAAGTGAATAAGTATGCCTGTGTCCCATATTGCTGTTTTACAATTTAGCTGCTCATTTGGTTGATACGGAGTTTTTATTCCCTTTATGTTATGGGTGCGGCTGGGGAATTCAGTAGTAATAAAAATACAGAGCTCTTTACCACAAGCTTTGTGCTGATAGTTCTCAGTGTTCTGTGAAGTATGATTAATCACACATTGCAGATACATAACCGAGAATCAAGTTTGCCTGTGGTCACTTGGCTGGTAAGAGGACTGGGATGAGGATCCCTGCCCTGGAGTCTCAACACAGAGCTCCCTCTGTGCAGAATTCCTCTTTGGTTTGTTAGTAGAACTGTGAGTGGTATCATTTCTCCTAAGGATCTGGGACAGTTTTTATGTTCCCCAGATATTAATCAGTATCTTTTTGTCAGCACTAGATTCATTTTCAGGAAGAGATACAAAAATATCACTTCCTTTTGAATTAGCTATCATATGTCCTCTGGAAGCATCTTTGCCAAATGCATTAAAAAATGCAATTAATGGCTACCCAAGAGATTTATTCTATTATCTTGACTAGCTTATTTCTAAAGTAGTTTGACTTTTTATTTGTCTGACTTACCTGTTGTTGTAGGGAGATTTTGTTTTATTACCCTTGAGAAGGCTGAAATGTTAAACAGGAAGTATGGGAGTTCCTTTCATTTCACATTCATAGTAAAAAAGTACTTTCAGACTGGAGTGTCAGGTCTGCAGTATAGGATAAATCTGGGCTTGTGGTTGGGACAAAATGGTGCTCAGGAGACTTAGATTGTATTACAAACAATATCCCAGACCTCTGTGGTAAACTGCTTATACTTCAGTCCTACAAAGTAGTTTTAAGCCCTGCACACTGTACCTCTCAAATGGGAAATTCAGGTTGAGCTTTGTCTTCCTCTGGCACTGTCAACATCCCAGTGTCTGCAGTCAGTGTGAATGGGCACTGTAGGGAAGGAGTGCACTGGAATGAAGTCACGTTGCTGCTCGCAGAGCAGACTTAGCTGTAAACAGTAGGACAGATGTAATTTGAAGTAGCCACTGGTGTTGCTGCTGGATGTGTACTGTTGGTAGTGTGAACTGTAATGGTAACTGTAACACATTAACGAAGATTTCATTTATCTGGAGGAGTTAAGAGCCGTTTTTATATGTCCATCTTTTAAACTGAACTTGTTTCTTCTTCAGCCAGTCCAGACATGCTTGACATCAGCTGAAATCTTTTAAATATATTAGTTTTGGGGTAGTTTTGTAATCATACTCTGGTGTCCAGTTCTCTCAGCTATGCTTCATGATTTCCTGATTTCAACTTGATGCATGCATGCGCACACACACACGCTCCATTTGGGAACAGAAGTTAAATATTGATTTTATTGTGATCTTTGGGAGGCAT